AAAACCCTAGTAAAATCAATGCTTTTTGCTTCAAAGACGAGCAGAGGGGGCCAAACTCCGGCCTCTCTCCAGGCCCAGGGGGAGGGGGTAGGGGGAGGGGTAAGCCCCTCCCCGAAGGGGAAGAAGGGGGGTTGAGGACAGAGCGGGCTCTCTAAACCACTCACGCCCAAAGGGCTGGTGGGATTTGACGACGGCGGCCGCAAGCGCGCCCTGGCTGTGAGAATGCCGCAGCGCGTCGAGGGCCGCGTCTCGCATCGCCGCGAGCACTGCAAAAGACTCCGGGGCGCGCTCGGCGCTCCCGACGAACGGCGCGCCCCCCTGATGCGCCGCGGCGAGGTCGCCGAGGGGGCGCGCGATCACCTTGAAGAACGAACAGCTGTCTTCAAGCCTTCCTGTACATCTAGACGCACTGCGACATCCCGCAGGCAACCGTCGTCGGAGGAGCAATACCTTGCTGCCGCGGCCCCCAACAGAGCACAGATTCTAAATCGCTGGTTCGGTCGAGCGCATGCGCCCTCATTCCCTGCGCGCTTGCCTCTCGGTGCCCTCGGCGAGCTGAGTGAAGCGCCCCTCTCGGAAAGCCCTGTCTGAAGTGCCCATGCACTGCATGATCTCCGAGCTGCGCCGCCGGGAGCAGCGCGCCCCGTTCGCCGCCCCCCCCCATCTGTCTGAAGGGCCGTCAGCAACCCACTGCAGGTAGGGAGCCCCGCCACCAGGGAAATGAAGCAGGGCGAACACTTCAGGCCGGGGTCCCTCCTGGACATCTCCTGGCCCAGCGTCTTGCAGATTCCGATCGGCGCGCCCGCGCCCACTGCGCTCGCCCCCAGCAGGCGCGCGCGGCACCCGCGCGCGGACTGCTGCCGCGCGCCGTCGGTACCCTCGACGGCCTCGAGGGCCACCTGCCGGTCAGCCGCGAGGAACGGGCAGGGCGCCCTGCCCTGGGCGGCGCCAAACAACGACTGTCACTCAGGCGGCAGGCCGCTGCACTCGCACTCCCGCCTGCAAGCGGAACCACTGCGTCGCGCGGTGACCACCTCCAGGGGGGCGGCCCAGAGGAACGCCGCAAGCTTCTCCTCGTCTGCAGATTCGCCTTGCACGAATCCAATCAGGCATACCTCGAAGTATATATACAGACGCGCGCAGGCCGAAGGTGCCAGCGGATGCTCGCCCGCCGCCTGCGCCGCAACACCGCCGCTGCTCATCGTCGTTTGAACCTATCCCATCGACCGCAACATCAGAATCATCCGCCGCCGCGACAGCGCGGCACCAGGGCGCGCGTCGGGCTGGCTGGACGGGCGGGCCGCACTGGGAGGGGCGGTCGGGCGGGTCGGACGAGCCGGGGACCTGTTTCACGCGCGGGGCGCACTGGGCGCATTCCCAACTCAGGTGGACGGGCGAGGTCGACCCGACGCCCTCCGGCGGGCGCGCCAGATCGCCGGCGGGCGGGTCGGGCCGCCAGGCAGGTAGATACTGCATCTCCGGTCTCGCGGATCACCCGCCACCTGCCCCGCGCCCCCGCGCGCGCAAGACACCTCATCGCGCACTGTGCGAACCGCGCAGCCAAGCGAGTTCTGGAAGGCATCTCCAGGATCCACGTCTGCGCGAACCTCCATGAAGGCGCGCTTGCCGCAATCCGTCGGCAACCCCCATCTGCGCGCGCGCCGCGGCGCCCGTGGCTGCGCCATCCGCGGAGGGGCTGGCACGCCGTCAGGCGCAGCGGTCTGCTGCGGTCACAATCCCATATCGAGGGGCGCCCACGCTCTGGCCAGCTGATACGCCCAGCGGCGGGGCGCCCGACGCCGCCGCCCCTGCCGTCTCAGCAGGCAAACCCGCCAGGCCACCATTGGCGCGGCTGCTCAGCGGAGACGGGGGAGCGTCGGCGCGCAACGGCCGGCGCAAACGAGCGGGCGTCGGAAATGCACGCGCCGGGGGCGCCGCTGCCACGGCCCTCTCCCTCTTGAGACCGCGCGCCCCGCCATCGCGCCGCGCCTTGCGCCTCTGCGCCGAAAGCTGCCCTGGGCCCGCGGGGCCCCGCCCCTTCCTGTTCCGGCGACGCCGGCGGCGCGGGCTCGGGCGCCTTCGGCAGATCCTGGTCGGCGGCGCAACCTGCGCGCTGGGGTGGCGATCTGCCGCGCAATCGGACGCGTTCCAATCGCTACTGCCCCCTGTAAGCGGACTCGCCCCATCCAGACACTGCGGCCTCTGGTTCCGCAAGTAGGTCCAACGCGGCGGACTTGGCATCGTCTCCGTCCGCAGCAGCCCTCGCCGCCCCCGCTACTCCCCGAACCGCGCACTGCGCTGCGGCCGTACCCATCGGCGTCGACGCATCCAGGCCGCTGAATCAACCAAGGGCGAAATCTAACAAGGCGCGCTGGCCACCGCGCCCCAAAAGCCTTGCTGTTTGCTCGTTCGCGCCTCCGCGCGGTACGATCTGGGGCCCTATGGCGGCGGCGGCGCGGCGCGATGTGACCAACGCGGCGCCGCGGCACGCGCGACGTCGCAAGCGAGCCTCCCCAGCTGCTCCAGGGAGTCATTTTCCAAAGAATGTCGTGGAGAAGTGGCCATCCGACGAGCTGCGGTCCCACAAGCTGGCCAGGCACTGACTTGCCATCCACGCCACGCCCTCGGCCCGCGCGACCAAGCGTCTGACTGCCATGGCACGCGCACGGTCCACAATTTGGCAGCGACGTCTTCTACCTGGAGGCCGCGCGTCTCGACCATCTGGAGGGAGGAGGCAGATGCAACCTCCCACATAGTATCCGTGGTCCGCGAATCTAAGAATGCGACGTCCCAGTCATTCCGTCCATCGCAGGGCGGCCAGAGAACGACCGCGACCCGATAGCCCGTCGTTGCGACCGGGACGACATAGGCCACCGGCTTGGAACACGTCTCGGCCTATGCGTTCAGGGCGCGAGCCGAAGCCGCGTTGCCGGGGCAGTGGGCCAGGTCCGACGGCCACGCCGGGAGAAGAGCGGAAGGACAGATGGCGCCAAAGCGCTCGAAGGCACTGGCGACCAGTCCGCGCACGAGGCCTGTGTGCCGCACTGGTACTGGCATTGGCGGAATACGAAGCAGCACAGCGCAGGTTCGAACAGGGACGCCCAATGACACAGGCTGCACACTGGAATCTGCACCAGATCCTCGACCAGAGAGTTTTGACCTCCGAGTACCGCAAGAGCGTAATCCTTACTCCTTCGGGTGTCCATCGACGACAAACTGCAATAATGCACACAGCTGGAAGTCCCGGCCGCAAGCCTGGGAGAACTCAGAGATTCGTTCCCCCTTTCTGTCTCCCGACTGCCCATGGGGAGTCCCACAAGACGCCACGGGGCTTCGTAAGCTTAAGCAAAGAATGGGCCTCGACGTCGCCAGCTGGCCGCCCACGAAACCCCACAGGCCCAACGAGATGCCCTAAGAGGCTCCCAAGAGGTTCAAAACTTCTGCCAGGAGGCCCCTGAAAGGCCAGGGGGGAAAATTAGCCTGGCGAAAGGCCCAACCATACGCAGTTGTGAATACCGCAATTGTGAAAACCATCTTCGCCAACGCTCCCTATGTGGCCACGGCTTCCCGCTGGAGCCCGACATGCTCAGGGACACGTTCGCGGCCGTCTTCGCAGGCTCCGACGACGACGAGGACGGCGCCCCCCTGACCGAGGAGCAGAAGCAGGAGAGGGCTCTGTGAGCCATGAGGGAAGCTGCGACTGGCGCCTTCGGTGGAGCTCCTATGGGGCCACGATCCTCGTGAGGGGTGTGCCGAAATGGGCGAGGAACCGCATGCGAACCCTGCCACTGGGGCCTTCGGTGGAGCTCCCTTGGGGCCACGATCCTCGTGATGGGGTGTGCCGACATGGCCCGAGGCCGCCATGCGAGTTCCGCCACTGGGACCTTAGGTGGAGCTCCCTATGGGGCCACGAAGCGTGTGAGGGGTGTGCCAAAATGGCCCGAGGCCGCCATGCGAGTTCTGCCACTGGGACCGTAGTTGGAGCTCCCTAATTCTGGGGCCACGAGCCTCGTGATGGGATGTGCCGACAGAGGGACATGCGGAGGGCAGAGGCAAGGAGGGGGAGCAGGGGAGGCAGCGGGAGGAGGAGCAAGGAGGACGCGGGCGCTGTCCCTTCAAAACGATGGCCCAACACCACAGGATGGTTGGGAATTAAACGTTCCAAAGAGGCGTTTCGCCCACGGTCCCGTCTGGTCCCGAAGGTGCCCAGGAAGCCATCGAGAAGCTACCTCCTCCTCCTCCTCTTCCACTGCTTCCTCGTCTCCTCCTCCTCCTCCTCCTCCTCCTCCTCCTCCTCCTCCTCCTCCTCCTCCTTGTCCTCTGCCTCGCTCGCGACGTGCATAACAACATATAATGGGACGCACAGAGACAGACCAATACTATATGTCCGCCTTCGAGGCGCGCGTCCGAACCGAACATATAGTATGCCCATCTTGCAGTATATCGATTCTCGAGCGGTGTGGCCAGAAAGCGCCCGCCACGACGCATGCACTGTAAGATTTCTCGGTGCGCGCGTCGCCCCTGGGGGGGGCGACGAACACATAGTATGAGTACGTTGGGGGGACGCCGATACCTCGCCATCGCTCGGACGTCCATTCCTTGTGTTTTTTTTCTGTTTCGTGCGTGTTTTTTCCGCCAGATGATCAAGGATGATCCTCGATGGCCCACGCCGAAGGAAAAATGCACACGTCCGAGCGATGCCAAGATATGGCACCATCCACCATCCCGCCACGCCGCCCTCCTCGGGAGCGGCCAAGAGGGGGGTGTCCAAGAGGGGGGGGTGCAAATCATGACCGGCGGCATGTGCGCGGCCCAGCGGGGGGGCCAGGGACGTAATGAAATAAGAAGAGGCGCCATAACATCTGGGGAAATATCATGGCCCCCGCCATGATATCCACCCCCCCCTAGTCATCACCCCACTCTTTTCCGCCCCCGACCTCCGCAGTGCCGCCCCAACCCCCCCGGGTGCGGCGTCACCGCTGCGGGAGGCGCCGCTCGGCCCCCCCCTCCATGGCGAGGGGCGTCGGCGGCGGGACCATCGGCCCCGCGGCGGAGGCCTCGGCCTGGCCCCGCCCGGCGGGAGGAGCAGGGCAGGGAGGAGGCAGAGGGGGGAAACGGGAGGCAGGGAGGAGAGGGGGGGGGGTACAGGGCAGTGTTTAATACATAGGATGTTTTAAAATGGGGGATTTGAATAGGTGATCCATTTATGAACACATCTATGCATAAACTCATCCTTGTATGTATTAATCAACCCGTTATTTTTGATACATGGTCCGCACGCGGAGCATGTATTAAAAACGGCACGGTACAGTCAACCCGTAGAGTGAGGATGCGCGGTTAAGGGCGCAGGGGCCTTGGAGTGCCACGTGAACGTCCTGCGAACGAGGCTGGCCAGCCAGAGCGGCCAAGGATGGATCGAGGAGGCAAGGATGCAAGGGTACAGTCGGGGCGTTGACCTAAGGAACCCTAAATACGGAACGAGGCCCCTTGTCCCACAAGTTCAACGTCGATTTACCTTCGAAAGCCTAAAAAAGCCTAAGGCAAACTGTGAAACAATCAAGGAACACTGAGCCCCTCCTCAACGAGAAGGGTTCTTTCTTCAGCGCCCCGACTGTACCCTCGGGTAGGTTGCCCATCCTCACTGTGCGGGTTGACTGTACGCCGGGAGGCTGCCGCGGAGACGGCGGCTCGGGCAGCAGGGCCGCGCCGGGCAGCAGCGGAAGGCCGCCCCACGGGCTGCAAGAGCCCGCACTGACATGTGGCACCGTTCTGCGATCGCCTCGGGCTCGGAAGCCCAACCCCTGGTCTCCACCCATTCGGGAGCGGCAAAGAGGGGGGTGTCCAAGAAGGGGGGGGTGCAAATCATGACCGGCGGCATGCGCGCGGCCCAGCGGGGGGGCCAGGGACGTAATGAAATAAGAAGAGGCGCCATAAAATCTAGGAAATCCGCCGGCCCCCTTGTGGGGCCACCAGGCTGCGAGGAGCGGGATTCGCAGTTTCCTTTACCAGTTGTAGCTTGTAGTTTCCAGTGTTACAGCTCTGCTTATTGCTGGTTACTGTAACTCGTTGATTGACCGCGCGAGGGGTGGGGAGGCCCAAACTGGCTTTTTAGCACCCCCTGGGCGCGTTGTCTGAATTGCTGGGGGTGCTCGAAATCGACACCCCTCACGCAGATCCGCGGGGTCAGGGTCCAAAAACACAGGGGATTTGCCACATTTCTGAAATTCGGTGCCACCCCTCACGCAGATCCGCGGGGTCAGGGTCCAAAAACACAGGGATTTGCCACATTTCTGAAATTCGGTGCCACCCCTCACGCAGATCCGCGGGGTCAGGGTCCAAAAACACAGGGATTTGCCACATTTCTGAAATTCGGTGCCACCCCTCACGCAGATCCGCGGGGTCAGGGTCCACCTTTGCCACATTTCTGAAATTCGGCGCCACCCCTCGCAGATCCGCGGGGTCAGGGTCCAAAAACACAGGGGATTTGCCACATTTCTGAAATTCGGTGCCACCCTTCACGCACATCCATCGCAAGGCGTGGTAACCCAAACTGCGAGAACTCCCTCGGCCCTTTAATCGCAAGGTGTGGTAACCAAGCCCGTAAACCATACACGTCTTACCAATCGCCAGGTGTGGTAACCCCTCTTGTGATCAGTTGGTTTTGCTGATTGCGAATCGGCTTCGCATGAAGTTTCGATACTGCTTCACGACAGCGCCAAGACCTCATGACTTAGCTCTTCCATGGCCCATTCTCCGAGAGAGGGGGCCGGCGGCAGGGGGCGAAGCCCTTACGGATATCATGGCCCTCGCCATGATATCAACCCCCCCCTAGTCATCACCCCCCTCTTTTCCGCCCCCGAGCCATGGGGAGAGGGCGGGTGGGGAAATCGAGGGATGAGACCTCGACTCGGACTGCAGCTGTGCGCGAGCTTGCGCGAGTGGCCGACGCAGGGTCGGAAGCTGCGTGCTCGAGGCCCCAAGCAGACCCCGCACGAGCAGATCGAGCTTCGGATTCCAAGCCAACCCGACCTCCTTATCAAATACAGGGAAACAATTGTTGAATAATGACAAACAGCCCAACAAGGCCAAACAAGCGGCCCTTCCCACCGAAGTATCCCGGACACTAAACAAGTTACGTCTGCAGAAACAAAGGGGGGCAGATAAGAACGAAGGAGGGAGGAGGGAGGGTACGGGAGGAGGAAGGGGAGGATGACGACGAGGAAGAGGAGATCGGAGGGAGGAAGTAAGAGAGAGGTAGAGGACGAAAGGAGGGATGAGGGAGGAAACAGGGAGGTAGGACGACGGAGGAGGGACCAGAGTGAACCCAACATGTGTCAACGATGCTGAAATACACCCGCCGTCCCAACTCCCCTCGTTTGAAGTCCTTGCAAACATTATCTAGCACTGTCCGAAACGCGCCCTTGAAAGACGAAGCTCATCGGGCCCGCAATCAAGGCGGAAGCTCCGTCTTTCAACAAAAACTGCCATGCGTCATTCGAGCTATCCGACACCGTGCCCCCTGGCACGTTGAGGCATGGTATAGTGCCAAGTGATGTCTGGCAGGGGTTATGAAGTCGTCTCCCCCTCCTGGTCACACTTCCCTGCATGCATCACCCCCTCCCCTCGTACAAAACATGAGTCCGCGCTCCCGAGGTCATGATTCCTCCTACAAGGCTATGGGTCCGCGCTCCCGAGGTCACAATGGTAATTCTATTCGCGAAACGGCTCCAGTGATTGAATCTGCCATAATCCTCCGTAAACTGCGCAATGCTCGCGCCCCCGAGGCCACAAGCCCTCGTAGATTATCAAATTCTTGCGTCCACGAAGCAACATCTCCTCGTAAATTACACTGTATTCGCGTCCCCGAAGCCAGAGCCCTCCCAAATTACGCCATATTCGCACTGCCGAGGCCAAGAGTGCTCCAAGGAGCCCGAAAATGGTTCCAAGACGGCCCAAGAGGGCCCAAAGAGGCCTCCCGAGAGAGCCACAAGAGGCCAAGATCGTATACGTTTACGAAGGTATTTGAAGGATGTTGAAGAAGCTCCCAAGACCGCCCCAAGACAGCCCAAGACGCCTCCAAGGTCCAAGAGGGACCCAAGACGGCCTAAGATAGCAGCGGACCCAGAACCAAACATTCGGTAGTTGTGTCCCGAGAAGCCCCAAGAGGCCGCCAAGAGGCCCCAAGAGGCCCAGAGAGGCGCCCAAGACGCGCCCAAGAGGCCTCCAAGAGGCCCAAAAGATATCCCACGAGGCCCCAAGAGGCCCCCAAGAGGCGCCCAAACCGCCTCCAAGAGGCCCCCGAGAGGCTCCCCACGACACCCCAACACATACACTAGAGGCCTCAGACCCACCACCCAGGCACGGTGGCGGGATGGGCCGAAGACCACTAGGATCCGCCGCCCCCTGTCGATTCATCGCAGGGGTGCCTGGCGTGCTAGACCTTTCGGTTTTGGTTTTGGTTATTTTTCCAAAAGAACTCCCCCTGGCGCTTCGGCCCGTCCCGCCTGGGTCCCGGGATGATTGCCCAGGACTCCGACGTCCGGAAAAAATCTTTCAAGACGGCTCAAGATGGCGTCCAAGACGGCCACGTTGGCTCAAGATGGCCTCCAAGATGGTCCAAGATGGCCTCCAAGTCCGCCCAAGATGGTCCAAGACGGCCTCCAAGACGGCCCAAGAGAGTCCAAGACGGCCCAAGACGGCCCAAGAGGCCCCCCAGAGGCCTCCAAGACGGCCCAAGAGGCCTCCAAGAGGTCCTCCAGGAGGGCCCGAGGAGGCCAAAATCATTGATTCCCACCAGCCCTCTGGGCGTAGGTGGTTTAGGGAATTTCCTCTTCCACCCCTCCTTCATCCCCTTCGGGGAGGGGTTTGCCCCTCCCCCTAACCCCCTCCCCTGGACTTGGACGGGGGGGCCGCTGGTAGTTAGAGCGTCCAAAACGGCCTCGGCGAGGAAGCCAAAATCATTGGTTTCACTAGGGTTTGGGCCGATTTTAGAGGCTCCCGAGGGGAAAGGCTAATTGGGGGACCCCCTTCCTTTGATCGATCACCTCCAAGATGGCCCCAAGAGCGCTCCCAAGGCTCCCAAGAGCGCCCCAAGATGGCCCCAAGAGGCGCCCAGGAGGCCCCAAGAGGCGCCAAGAAGGCCCCAGGATGGCCCCAAGATGGCCCCAAGAGGTCCCCAAGAGGCCTCCCGAGGCACCCAAGACGCCCCAAGAGGCCTCCGGGACCGCCAAGACGCTCCCAAGACGCCCTGAGGCCTTCAGGACGCTCCCAAGAGACATCCGAAGAGACTCCGAGAGGCATCCAAGAGGCCTCTGGCCATTCTGCTCGCCCTTCTCCTCATCCTCCTCCTCATTCTCGTCCTGCTCCTCCTCCTCCTCCTCCTCCTCCTCCTCATCCGCCTATTGCTCCTCCTCCCTCCTCCCTCCTCCCGCTCCCCCTCCTCCTCCTTCAGTTCCTCCTCCTCCTCATCCTCCTCCGATTCCTCCTCCATCCTCGCCGTCTTGGGTAAGACGGGTTCCCCAGCCCTTTGTTACTCTGTATGCTCCCTCACTTCCCTGATCACCTCCATTCGCCTGGGCATCGTTACTGGATGGGCTGGTGGGGATACGCGAAGCGTCAAGAATTTCCTTAGGTGTTTGAAGGATTTGGGGATTTGCTGCTTCTCTGCATTCCGACGGCTCAAGACGGCCCAAGAGGCCCCCAAGATCGCCCAAGAGGCCCCCAAGAGGGCCCCATGACGGCCCAAGTGGCCTCCAAGACGGCCCCAAGAGGGCACCAAGACGGCCCAAGAGGCCTCCAACACGCCCAAGATGGCCTCCAAGACGCCCAAGATGGCCTCCAAGACGGCCCCGAAGCGCCCCAAGAGGGGCCCCAAGTCGGCCCAGAGAGGCCTCCAAGACGGCTCCCGACGGCGTCAGACGTGCCAGGAACCCACCAAGATGGCCGAAGTTAGCTCGAAGCTGGCCCAAAACGGCCAAGAGGCCCCCAAGAGGGCCTCCAGGAAGGCCAGAAGAGGCCAAAAAACATTGATGTTCGTAAGGTTTTTGACGGATTTTGACATTTG